TTATACATGGGTATAGCTCATTTATTTATGTATTTACTCATCAAAATATGTTTGTAGGTCTTGGTGCCCACTGCCTCAACCACTGATTGAGCCTGTGTTTGGTTATTTTTAAGAAATTCCCAAGGTGTTACTCCCTTTGCAGTGGCCACCTCTAAGGCGTTAATGCATGAGAATGTGTGGCATTTGTAGATTAGACACTACCAATACGCGTGCCAAGAACAGGTTCTCTAGGATAAAAGCTGAAATCCTGTGGAGTAATTCTGTGTATGTGCGCAAGCGTGCATGCGCCTGATTGCACATTAGTTGTACGGTGCTCATTCATTTGAGAGTTCACATCATTAACCCCCTTTACACATCTATGAACTCTGGAAATGAACAGCCTCATCTGAGAACAGCCAATACGAAGAACCTTTTTTTCAGATTGTGTTTGGGGTTTTCAGCATCTTATTTCTGCTCTATTTTTTGCAAGCCTGTCTCATCTGACGATACCTCTTTATTCCTCTTTTCTTGTTCCATTAGGACCAGTCAGAGTTGTGTGCACATCATCGTGGCCCAGACGAAGAGTGCCAAGGGTTTGGGCTTCACACTGGATCAGAGCAGCTGTGTCTTCTCTAGCATCCCTGAGCTGGTCCACCGCTACTGCACACACAGACTGCCTTTCACTGGAGCAGAGCACATGACCCTGCAGCATCCCGTACCCCGGCCACACTGAACATGCGTCAAGGAAAAGCAAACTCACTGGGATATGAATACACATGCGCAGACAAAAGCAGAGATATATACACAGACTCAGACATGAGTTCACACACTCAAAGATATGCTGCTTTGGATCGTACTACCTTAATATGTTTATATGTTTCTATCTCCTCCATGTGCTACTTAGTAGTCACAGTTATATATTACAATGATCATTGATCACATTGTCTAAGTGGCAATTGTTTCCTGCCAAAAATCCCCATTGAATGAATTTATAGTTAAGAGGAAAACCAGCCCTTCTACTGCTTAGTGTATTTTTCTTGTCAAAACTAAGTATCCGGAAAACATTGATTTCTATCTTTACCTGGAAAAATGCACTCACTGTAACCATTCAGAGGTTCGTAACCTGTCCTTTCACAGAGATGATGACATTGATTAGTGACATGCCTTCCAGTTAGGCACCTGATTGGAGTATATTCATTCATCCATCTGACATGTCAATCAGCCTATTGATCTGTACTGAAAATCAGGATCATTTACCAGCCACTCTGTCTGTCAAGAGACTGAGATACATTGATTAGGCGTTTAGAACTAGTGAAGTGGGAGGGTCTTATATCATTACAGTACCCAGTCAGCAAAATTGTTTGTTTATGTAAATGTGCAAAATCAATTGCTGACTATATTGTTCATTTACGTGCCTTCACTGTAATCTAAATGAGGTTGTGATCAAAAGCTACCTTATTGTGAATGAATTTAAAATGTTGCTATAAAATATCTATGCATAAATGGTGTATGTGTGAAGTGACTGTTGGAGATTTATTTTTTACATGGACCACACAATGATGTGGGCTGTATTTTATTGTGGTAAGACTTTTATGCAGAAATAAAATACAACTGATATTAACTGTGGACTAAGAGTGTTATTATTAGACATGCCGGCAGCAAAAGTCAAAGCAGGGTTCAAGAAAAATAAGCGCAGACACGGAGATGAGAAGTGAATCTGTGTGCTTTTCTCTTGTAGCTGTAAAACCATTGACCTGAGCGTGAAATCAATTACAGTTACACGCATGCAAGCTCATGCATGCGCTCACACTCACCTCACCAACAAAGACCTTCTGCCATGAGCAAACACATCATCTACACGTTCAAAATGCACACATGAATAGTGTTCACACAAATAGCATTTACCCACACAACCGGTAAGGTGGTGTATTTAAATCCTCTCGCCAACACACAAACACACACACACACACATGAAGCTTCTCACAAAACACAGAGCAGCTTAAACCTCACAATGATGCATGAGAGACTGAGTGTGTTTGTGGTAAGATATGTCTAACCAGTAAACACCAGTGTGATGATTTGCATGGGGATCTCTTAAAGTGTGAGTGTGTGCGTGTGTGTGTTGTGCGTTCAAGCAATAACATGCCCATGTGTGCAACCATGTGTGCATTATTGTGTGTGTGTGTGTGAGAGCGCGAGAGAGGAGAGGGAGAGAGAAAGAGAGAGAGGGAGTCAGAATTTTTCTGTTCAGGGATTACCGGGTTGCTATGGTGATTAGTTAGAGTGAGGTAGGGCCATCTCTACAGGGGAGGAGGAGAGAGGAAGAGAAAGAGGGAGGAGAGACAGGCTGCCATAAAAAGAGCTATGAATAACCGTAGCCATAGTAGCAATGTTCGGAAGCTCCCCCACAGAATAGCCTGCTCGCTTTGTGAATGGAGAGAAGCAACATGTGAGTAAGTGAGTAAGTAAAAAGTGATTCACTCCTCCGTCAGCTCACAAAACTGACATTGACGCACTTCATCAATCGTATACAACACATACACCTCATTAGAGGGTCAAACAGAAGGGTCCACTGCAGAACTAATGTGTCACTTCAGCAAGAAGGAGGCTAACTTCAGGGTGAACCGAGGCTTTCCGCTTAGTTCACTCTCATATTGGCCATCCTGCTGCACCCAGTGTGTCACAAATGGCAATGTTACACAACAACTGACACCGCTAACTATGACCCTTTCTTCCATCCATGAGATCTGTTGGGGTTAGTCCTCTATCTTCTCTTAATTAAATCACAAACTAGGTCAAAACAAACAAGATGCCTGGGGTGTTGGACATATGATTCCTGCAGAGCTTGTTTTTGGGAATGGTCCCAACCAAGTAGCCTACATTCCTAAATGCTTGTCTGAGATTCTAGGTCTTGTACATCATCACTGTCCAGTAAAAAACAAAAAGTATTTTTTTATGTGAAGAACTACATGTTCCTTGTTTGGCTGAGAAAGTGATCCTACTTCTTAAGCTCAATAAAAGATAAAAAAACAACAATATGGAGTAAACTGACGTCACATATAGGGACATGTTTCATAACTCATAAAATAGTTGACCATTGGGAGATACATGGTTTTTTACAGGACAAGAAAGATATGCATACTTTCTATACTGCACACTGAGTTTATAATGTATCAGTGGTACCAAAAGTATTCTTATTTTGTAAATATGGCAATCCCAAAATATACAAATACAAATGTAAGAGCTGGCTTAAAATGACTGCCTTACAAAATCATAGCAACAAATAAGAAAAAGCATCATAATGACAAAAACGTTATCTTGTTACTGCAGGATGTTGATGTAGTTTTGTTGAAGCAAATTTAAACTACTTTTTCTACCGCTGGATTGCTTAATCTTTATAATAACATATTTTACAAGATGATCATTTTAAAGTATACCAAAGCTGTTTAGTAAATAGTCAAAAGTACCAGTGTTGCCTCTGAAATGTAGTTCAAAGGAAAAAGTGACATAACGTACAGGACTCTCAAAATGATATCTTGTATCTTGCTTGTGGAGATGAAATGTTATGTGAAATAAAGAACATTTGTCTTATTCTTATTCATCTGTCCTTGGTCCATAGATCAGATTCCTATGTTGTTAATCAAAGTGTGTCCCAGATATGACAGAAGCACAGGAAGTAACTGAAGCAATGACAGCATGAGAGGAAGGGACAGAGAAAAGAGGAGAGAGAGGCGGGGAGGAGGGAGAGCGTGAGGGGGTGTTAGAGGAAGACAAGCACTCGTGGGGGTCCCAGCTTTTAAATAATTCAGAGACTCACAGCACTCAGTGCAGAGGAGTAGCACTGTCAGGTCAGCTCATTCACTGCAGAGGAGAGGGAGAGAGGGAGAGGAGAGGACTGTACAGAGAGAGAGAGAGGAAGAGTGTAAAGATAGAACGAGGAGAGGAAGACATTACTGTGGGAGAGTTTGCCTGCATGTGTGTGCATGCATATCTACAGGCCATCTGCGCATGTGTATCCTTTGTGTGTGAAAATAGACAAAATGAAGGAGAACAGGTTGTTTCCTCCTGGAGCTTTTGGGTTTCTCTTAGTCACCACGGTAACCGCCTCCTCCCTACATCCTGCACTCCTTTGCTTAGTTCACTCTTCCCCCATCCATCCCTCCCACGCTCTTTTGACTCCTCCTGCTGTACCCCTCTTCATTTGCTGCATTCCCTCCGCCCCTCATCATTCAAATCACTTGTTTATTTATGTTGTTATCATCAGGCTCCTGACTCTCAGTCTTAGTAAGCATGCTGCAAAATCTAGAACAAGAGGACATATTGTAATCCCCCCCCCCCCCCCCCCCCCCCCCCCCCCCCGCCCCACCTGTCTGGCCTTTTTCTCCTCCCCATCTGTCAGACTCCTGCATGTTTGACTTTGTGATTGGGGACTAGAGGTCACCGCAGTCGGCTAGAGGGAAAGAAGCACAAGAAAACTTTTAATAAAAGATAAGCAACAGGATGCAAAAATAGAAAGATCTCATATGAGAAGGCAAGACTACCACGCAGGTTCTAAATGGTGAAGATTATTCACAGACAAATGACTACATCAGGCAGTCCACATAAAAGGTGTTATAAGGTTATTTAATGAGTGGAAACTAGAGCAGAGAGACTCACACCTAGCGAGAGATAGATTGTTCGACTATAAAACTTAACTATCTGTAATCTATTTTCTTATGGCTCCTTACTGAAAAATATATTTTGTAAGATTTAAAAATACCACCAGACCGTCACAACCATTTCGACCTGGGGCTAATATTAAAGATAAAGCAGATAGGGACGAGAGATGCCATTAAGTTTGACAAGGTCACTATTGAGCACCACAAACACTGCGTGCCTAAGAGCACTGCATATTAAATGGTGATGTGTGACTTTGTCAGGGGAAGACACTCGCTAGCTGAGCTGAGGAGCATCAGAGGTATGCCACATCCTCCCCTCCCTCCCTCCTCCCCCCCCCTCCACCACCACCCCGCCCCCGCCTGTCGGAGCGTTCAGCAGCGGACAGCAGCACCGCACGAGCCAGCGCACAGCTCACCTGGCCCCGCAGAGGTATTTCTATTTCCCCCCTTTTTTTCCCCAGCGAAGAAGTGCTGACCGATGGAGAGCCCTGCCGTCACCATGCCAGGTAGAGAGTGAAAGGGGGGCTTTGGGTCGTGAGGAGGAGGGAGTATCACTGCGGGTGTGTTGGGGTGGCCTCTCCATCGCGGTGAACACCTTTCGGGCTCGGACGCACGCACGATGATGGACGCCTGGCTGCTGCTGCTTGCTCTCCTCGCCATTGCGGGAGGTGAGTAACTTGTCCGTCTAATGGCTCCATCGATGCGCCTTTGTGTGCATCGTCACCTTTCAAGGGCCAAAAGCACCGCGCGTTCGTGCTTTCAGAATGTCTGGAATAGGTTTCTTCAAAGTAACGAGGGAGTGAGCGTGAAAACAAAAGGAGTGGTTAGATATTGAGGAGAGGCAGACGTGGAGAAAATGACTCTTTAATTGCTGTGTCACCATTTTTCTCAGAAGCGAGCGCGACGGAATGATATACATATTGTCCACTCTATATATCACATGCGAAAACTGAACAAACATTAGCAACTGCATGAGCTCACATGATTATCCGTTTACAATCTGAAATACATATTTTTCATTTAGGGTAGCTATTAATATAGAGATCTTACTTTATAAAGTAACACCATGTGGTTATAATTGGATGGACTAGGTAGTATTGCTATCTGTATTTAGGATACATTGCACTTAGCCAATTCTGAGGGTAATTTAAAGCATTTACATTGTTTTGCTGCTAATAGGCTGAGCATTAATTAAAAATAGCTTGCACAGCAGGTATAGAAGGCTTTGTGAATATAAGCATGACATTTACAATACATTAACTCAAAAAAAGACCAATCCACTATTGCACCAGCTATCCTTTCCATTCTAAATATACATTAGAGACAGAGAGAGAGGGAAAAATTATGTTATCATCCACGTACTCCCCTCCTCTCTCTCTCATTAACACTGAGGTCCTGCATTGAGTGGGCAGGTTAATGAAACTTCCTGTCATCAGAGGACAGATGATGTGTCAATCAGCAGAGCAGGAAAAGCCTTCTGCCTCGGCGTGCAGATAAATTATCTTTCTGTCTTTGTGGAGGACATGCACTGAGGAGATGAGCCTTATTTACAACATTGTTGTTGTTGCGTTGCATTCGGAGCAAATGAGGTAGCGTTAAGTCATTAGGGTGCTCAGACATATTTTACCTCCGTAAATTGGCTCTAATTTGTTGTTAATTTCTGCTCAGTGAGTGTTTGTTCTTGCCGAGTGGAAAACACATCAGCTGATTGGTTGAATTACAATATAAGGGAGGCGAGTCCCCACACATGACTGTGTAAACAGATTTAGGTCCCCACAAGTATAGTAATGCTAGGCCACACACACGCCTGACCATCTGCCTTGCACTGACTAACTGTTCATCATCACCCATGGCGATAACATGCTCCTGCTTTCTCTGCAGCACACATACATAATCGTCACCAACACACACACATACACACACAAACACACACACAGCCAGAAAGTGGGCTTTGCACCACTCACGGTCATCACAATACATCCAGAGGAGTATTCACAACGGCAGCATATAGTTAAAAAAAAACACTTTCACCTGCAGTCAATCTGCCATTTATTAGTTCAGAGTGGAGTTTGATTTGTGTCATCATAACTTTTGATTAAATTACACTTTTCAAAAACACACAGTGTTTTACAGGTAAACAAACAAATATAATTGTACACATATACTGGTTATGTGCTAGAACATTACATGAGCAAACTCTCATTTTAATAGAATACTTAAGTTAATTTTGGATTTGGTTGATGATTGAACATGTTTATAGATATAAAAGCCTTCTAATAATAACTTAGTGCATACCACATATCAAATATATAAATTGTAGTCATTTTAGATCTCTTTAAAAAGGATTTAACCAAACAGAATATTATCACTAATATAACCCAAACTTCACATAGAGCAAACTAATAGGACAATAAGGTGTCTTGTTATTAAGCTGCTGTAAACTTGCTTCACAATATCCAGTTCCCCCGAGCACTATGTTTTGTTGGTTGATCATTCTTTGAGTTCAAACAAGAATGCTGTAGAAAATGGTACCAACATGAAATATCACTCTTATGAGCTCCATAAGCTGTGGAGTACTAATGAGTCATCTCTCCTTAAGGGAGAAAATCTGATTAGCATCATCCTCAGAGACTGTAAACTTAATCCACACACAAACAAATGTTTGAAGAAATGAGCACATGGTCGCACACCTGGGCTAACTTACAGAGGTTCCATACAGAGACGCTACAAAACACATAATGTTAAACCTGTATGCATACAGACTCAGATTCAAGTCTTTTCCCTCACAGTAGTGGTGATGGAATGAGAAAAAACCCTACTTTTACTGTTTATACTTTCTTACATAAGACTGCAACAGACATGCACACAAAAGCAGTCTCGCATTTGTTGGCTGTGCAAGGGCGCTCAAGGACATTTCACCACCTGTCTCAGATGCTGCCGCAAGGATGTGGCCATCCTGCTGTGTGAGGGGGATGTCTCCTGTCATTTCCCCTGCAGGCCATGCATAATAAACAGCTCTGTGGTGCTGAGTTGACCTGATGCAGGGGTTACTGGATATGGAGCACAGTGTGCGAGAGTCTCATCACCCAAGGACATCAAAATGTGCTTGGATTAGTTTTACAGCACCACTTTTATCAGCTGCATCTTAAAACAGATGTATTTGACGCACAGCCAAGTCATCCTCGTTGCTTTAGTGACTGTGTGTGTGTATGCAAGTGCCATCATCTTTTTCCTCTGCTTTATGAATGCACTTAGTGAATATCAACTAACCATTTCCTTGGCAGTGCTACAGTCTAGAAAGTTCACTCAGTTTAGCCTGTCATCACTTTCATGGTGCACTTTTCCAGCCCAATGATCTCTGCAGCATCTCAACCTGCAACATTACAACCACCTCCTATTGTCTCTCTCTCTCACTCTGTCACTTTCTGCCTTTATCTCGCTCTCTCATTTCCTCTGTCTCTATCTCTTTGGCCTGACTCCCAACACACAGCAGCAACAGGATCAGATCAGTGGATAGGGGCTGCATCTGTGATAAGAAATGCACAGCAGTCACACAACAGAGGCCTTCATTTGTATGTGAGAACGTGTGTGTGATCCCGTGTGTAAAACTGTGTGCTCTCATGTGTAATTTGTGCAAGATTGTGTGAGTGTTTGTGTGTGTTTGTGTGAATGAATTAGCAGCACACAGCAGTGTGTAGCCCTGGAGATTAAACAGAAGCAGAAGGAGAGCACCAAGGTTTAATAGAAACTTCAGTAGTGGAGAAGGAGAAGATAAGAGTCACTTGGAATGTCAAGAGTTTTAATTTCAAGACAAAGGTTGACTTACACCCAGGCAAGTTATGTTGCTGTGATGCCAGAATGTGTAGACTAGACGTGTATCCAAAGTAGACTTAAAAAAATATCTAAAATAACTCGTGCCTGGAAAAGTGCACTAACATAGAAAAATATATGCTTATTAACAGTAAATCCTTTGAAGACTGCACAAAAAGGTATAAGACACAAATACACATATGGTCTATAGTCTCTACTGTTCCATCTCTGTATGTGGGCAAATAGTTTTTGGCTCCGACCTGGTGATAACATAGCCTCAAGACTTATAGACATCCAAAAAATGCTTAGGTAACATCAGTTATAAAAGGCATTATGCAGTTCAGATGATGTATTGCAATCCCTGAAATATGCACCACTTTAGAAAGCTATACCGTCTGTCATCTGACAGCTGAGCTCCTTTGGCTGTAAATAATATAAATGAACCAAATAGCATATCACCTGCACAAGGATTGCATAGCATAGAGGGTTTTAACTGTAGATTATTTAGTAGTCTAAACCAGTGGTTCTCAACAAGTGGGTCGTGGACCCGTTTCGAGTGGGTCGCAGATGTGTGAGTGAAGAAAAATAATGATTTTCTAACGCTGTGCATTCAGTAGGCGTTGGAGTGGAAGTACCGGAGACCATAAACGGTTTTGAAAACTTCTGTCACGTAGTGATCATCTTCTCAATAAAACATCTTTGCTGATGTTTTTTCGAGTCTTCTGGCCAATCAGAATCAAGATTGTTGCCGGAAGTCCCCACGGAGAATAACTTTGCGGTAGAACTATTCTTTATACATCCATGGGTACAACTTCAGATACAAATGAACACGTAATGAAATATGACCCCGGGTTTGATGATTGACAGGTCACAGAACAATGGGAGCTATCTACTCTTACCCACAATTTAAAGTAATTCACACAGAATCTTCTCTCTGTGTGGAGCAGCAAGTTCAGCTGTCAGAACAAAGTGAAAAACAAACAATGACATAAAATATTATTAATATAGTATTTATTTATTTTCTTCTCAGAGTGTACCAGGTAGTTTATATGTTAGTAGGCCTATTTCTAAAAATCTCCTGGGGGAGAATCCCCCCAGACCCCCATGCTGGGGTTGGGTTTTCAGCATGTCATGTTTTTCACGTGTGGTGAATTTGCAGGATTGGCTCCAAATCTGCCTTTTTATTTTAAAAGCATTCTTTAGTTTTGTGAAGGGATAGCCTATAAGGGATACTGTACTTCACTTTAATTAATATTGTATGCTGAAAAGCGTATAAATTACAGCACGATTTTTTTGTTGAATAGATTTTAGTGGTTCAAAATGTCGGGTCGCGATTTATTGACCAAGGAAAAAGTGGGTCCCGAGGCCTGACCAGTTGAGAAGCACTGGTCTAAACCACTTGCAAAAGCTATGATGCCATTTTTTCTGCACTAAAACACAAGAAATAATACTTATATGAAAACATTGAGATTTTTGAATAGAGTTAGAAAATAGCCTTTGTAGGTTAAATCTAAAATGTATCTAATTCTATTGTTGGATCAACCGTTGGCACAATAGTATGGACCTTTGATAATTTGCATTAAAAAGGTCTCAGTGTAGTTGTTTGACACTAGTTAGCATAACATAATAATTAAGGGTCACAAAGTCAAAATAGAGATCGATCTGTGCCTTCAATTTTCATCAGGAATGAAAAAGCAGCTAATGCGATTCACCTAGCATGTTATTGATTTCCACCCCCGCCTAATTGCGCATGTCTGATGTAAAAAGCAGATATAAGCAAACAGAAACAACAGAAACTACAACACAGCTAGCTTACCGGTTAAAGGCCTCCTGCTTCCCGGATGTCACCGGTGTGGCA